CCCGCGTGTACGTGCCGTTACCAGCGTGTACCCGCGTGCACGGTGGCCTGTACCAGCGTGTACGTGCGGTGTACCCGGCGTACAGGCGCGTGCACACGCTGTGTACCGTGCGTGCACGTGCGTGTACCGCGTGCACGGCGTGCTACCCGGTGACGTGCGTTGTTACGTGCGTGTACGTGGTGTGCGGCTTGTTGCCGCGTGCAGTGCGTGTACAGCGCCCCTGTAGGCAATTGTTTGTCGTGCTGTACGGCGATAGCCGTCGTTGATACCAGCGGTTGTACGTGCGTATTTACTCGTACCGCTCGGGCACTATTTCCTTCCCTCATTAGACAATATCACTAATGCAGAGCTATAGTGCCACCCACAGCCATGCAATGGCATTAAGTATAATCAAGTATTACTGAGCAGTTGGCCCGAGTGGGATCTATCCTGAACTGACGCTGACTGGGTCTGCCTCTGTGGATCACGAATTCCTAGATACGGATCAACAATTCTGCCATATAGCTCATCGACTCAGCAAACTAGGGTTTTGACGTCGACTCGTAAAATACTATTGGCTTATCTTGATGATTCCATGATGTTATCATATGGCTGTCGGTTGCGAAGTTTGTGTGTTCTTGCTTTCTCCCAAAACCTTAGATTTACTTGCTTCTATAGACAGTACAACTGAGATTCCAGCTATAACTGCGGTTATTAGGCTAGAAACCACCGCAGGTTCTCAGTGCCACGTGAAAAACAAACCCTTTTAAGTTTTCATGGCAAGGAACTTGTGTGAGGATTTTTGCGTGAGCACGAAACCTGGTTTCGTCGGAGTCGTAAGAACCTTTGGGGAAGTGACTCACGAATGTAGTGTTACAACAAAGATGGCGCAAACAGTGCTGTTGAGTGGTTTCTTGCATGGAAAACCTTAGAGGTTGACTCTTGTGTCCCCAAATACCTAGTTCTTGCTCACGAAACTAAGATTCCAGCATACACCGCGGTATATGGTGGCTAAGATAGAACTCAGTTTGCGTTGCCACGGAAACTAGTTCCTGGCAAGGGAACTCCTCGTTTGGTGTTCTCGGAGCAAGCAACTCTAGTGTTTTGTGGAGCACGAAATCATTGATATTGCCTCAGAGTGTACAGAGGACAGGATAACGTTTGAGATTTTCCTTTGCAAGTATTTATAACATTCTTCTTTTATTAGGTCATTCTTATTTTTTATTCTTATTTTCTATATATATTCTCATTCGAATTACTTAGAACAAAAGAGGCCACCTTGCCATACATCTACCAAGTCGCACATAACACATGCGGCTATTATCATGGATAACAAGCGCAGAGTCTCCTAACAAGTTGGGCTCTCTTCTGACATTGCCTTTCTATACACGTTATTCATTTTCACACCGGATTTTACTTCAGCAGATCGAGGAAGCATATCTTGGTGGTCTAACGCGCGCGAACGGTGCCACCGCAGAACGATTCCTATAGAGCTCTCGATCTTAGAATTTCTCAAGTTTGTGGAGTTTAAGGTTAAGATTGGTAGTTCCGAAGGTTAGTTTCTCCAGGACTACATCTCCTGAGCCTGAGCCAGGCTGCGTGGACCGATTGTCTATACAGGTCTTCTAATCCTAGCAAGACCGTTTCTAGTGTCGAGCTACATCTTCACTGATTACTGTCCATATATGATACTCGATATCGTTGATAATTGCCATGACGTATAGGGCTAGATTGAGGTCATTCAGTGACTTTTCACAGTTCGTTGTTTTACAATTTATACGCGCACGCCTCTCTGTTCGCCGTGTCGATGACGGAATTAAACCAAATTTCCTCGCAAATCTTCGTCTTACCGTCTGAGATTTATTGTTCGTATCAAATATAATTGCGGAAGCGTTTTTTGCCGAGACTAAGACGGACAGAAAATTTTCATGCCACAATTTGCTCGGGCTGTCTGCAAAAAAAAACCTTCGTCTCATTGTATTTTCAGTACCGCATCTCTCGAGCTTTTGCAAAGCACATTCCGCAGCTCCTGTGAGGCGACGCGAACGGCGGACGCATGAAGATTAGGGCACGCCTTAGTGTCAAATTTTTCCGCGTGGCTCACGCCGGCATTATTAACGATGGATGCATCATCTAGTCTCCGAAGACGGTATTTGCACGCGCGAGGGCCACGATCAAGCGACGGACAAGCGACTTGGTGCACTGGTGCCCGGCGATGATCATTTCCGCGAACGGACGATAGTGTCTCTATCTCAGGCTTTCTGATACCAAACTTGTAGCTGTGAACGCCGATGCAATGCTCCGACACGCACGGTGCGGTTCCGAGCTATCGTCACGGTAACATCGGAAACCCGTCGTGGCTATATGCATGGCCATCCGCACGTTCGCGCTCGTCCTTTGTAGTATTCCCAGGGTATCTTAACATGACTCTGCTTCACGTATTCCATAACTGTACGTTTCGATACTGATACCTAGCCTGCATGGACACGCATTCTGCGGTACGCTTCGAATGCTTCCTCTCGCTATATTCGGCAACGGCGCGGCTCGGA